AATTGTAACGTTGTTAATTATCTAATAAAAAGTCCCCGGCCAAGAGGTCACCTTAACACCGAAAAAAAAAAAAAATTTATATAAAAATTTTTTTTAAAACTACCTAGTTATTAAACAAGTAGATTAGTGGTGGCGAATGAAAATGGCGGTCATGTGAAGATCGGCAAAAAATTCTTGAGTGTGATTGGTTATTGTTTCATATTACGCAGGTTAATTGTACCAAATACGTTTTACAAGCACAATTCACTCTTGTAAATTCATACGTATATATATATATAATACTGTTTGATTGAATGATATTAAGTTATATATAAAAGTAATCTTTACTAAGGTAGAGTTAACGACTGAATTTAATACTTTAACAAATATATTTTACAAGCTACAATTCATATACAATTCACTATTGTAGATTTGTATATACATAATACTGTTTGATCGAATAATATTAAGTTATATATAAAAGTAATCTTTACTAAGATAGAGTTAATAACTGAATTTAATAAGATTTTATATATTTTACTTTGTAAACTCAATTTTTACTTAAATTAAAAAATTGTAATTAGTTCAAATAGAACACAAGTTTTGAATTACGTGGAGGGCTCCAAGTTTTTTGTTGCGTTTTTGCTATTAAAGCTTCTTGACAAGCTCTTGTTTCGGTTATTAAAGGCTGTTTTAATTTTCTATATATATTGTAAAAACTATCATTTTGAATATTTGAAGAAACAATATTTAATAATAATTCAAATATTTTTTTGTCTTCTGCAAGTTCATCCTTTCTAGATTCAATTAATTTATTACGAGCATCAAGACTTAGTTCTATATTATAATCATATTCATTTTCTAAACCTTTTAATTCATTTAATGAATTTTCAAGGGCCTCAGTCCAAGAATTGTTAGTAGGGTTAAGGCTAGTATGAATTTCACCAAAGGAGATAAAAGGATAATCATTTCGGGTTTTGTTATAGCATATTGAAGAAATGAAGGATTTTCATTTGTATATTTTTTAACAAGGTGCTTACACACCAAGTAAGTATTATTTACAAATGCAGGATATGAATATACCCAATTGTTAATATTTGTTAAGTAATTGTCTTCATTACTAATTTCATTTTCCAATGCTTTTTTTTCATTCAACTTTGAATGTATCCTACCAAGATGATAAATCCCGTTTATAGTTATATCTTTGCCAGGTATTAATTTGGTCTGGAATTAATTCTCTTGTCAAAATCTGTGTTAGGCAATCTAAATGGGGTCGATTATAGGTATATTTATAAGCGTATTTTATTACTCGCCAGTGCGATTCTACAAGCATTGTAGTTCTTGCTAATAGAATCGCATTTGAAAAGGAAGCCCGGGCAAAGATATTCCAATCATTCTTATTGTACCAGTTTGACCACAAATAGCCCTATATATGTATAAGATTTTCACTTTTGCAATAACTATAAATTTCTCTAACGCTTTTATGATATATCTCTGCTGAGGTAAGAAAATTTTTTTTATTGATTAGTATGAGTGGGTGCAATAATAAATGTTTATGAACCATATTTAAAATATTATCTATGTTTTCTTTTGAACATAAGATGCCTTCATCATTTTTAGGAACCCAGGTGATATCAATAAAATTAAATTGGTTATTTGCCTCTTTCGCCTTTTGTGTTGTATATTGGCTGCATTTATTATTTTTTTCTTTTAATTTTCTGCTTATTGCACGTTTAACATACCATAGGCATAGCTGTATCTTTACTTTCCAATCCCAGGCTTCTTGCGCAGCTGCTATTTGACCTGCATCTTTGTCTATAAGAACAAAAGTCAGTAAAATATCCTCTTCTTTTAATGATAAAAAAAAATCACAAAGAACTTTTAATCGAGAATAAACTTTATTTTTAGGGTTTTTAAGAAGATCTTTTGGAGCTATAAACATATCAACGTATAGGTACGCAAGTGGAACCCCATATTCACCCAAATTTATTAATATAGTGAAAAGTTCAAATTTTTGTTAGTTGGTTTTGTAGGTGGAATCAATAATTATTTCATTAATATTTGCTTTTTTTATAAAGTTATTAAAAGGGGTAAGAAATCCTAGGGCTCGAACAAAATCATTTTCTATATGTAGTAGAACTTTAAATCCTTCATTAATTAATTCTTGTTGTTTCAAAAAATT